AGTATAACTTTTTAAAAGATTCATAAAATTGATTTTCAGGAAATACATGAATTAAGATATTTTTAATATTTTAACAAATTTAACTTTGTTGACAAAATAAATTTCAAGGAATTGGGACACACCAGGAAAACCCAGGTGTACAGGGGCCATTTACAAAACCAAGAACAGACCAACATTCCCTAGAGACACGGCTGCTTCCATCAGCACTGTTCTCGCATTGACTTGTCCTCGTCACCAATTCATTGCCAGATGGTGCCTGTTTTGTGTATTTAAGACTGATGTTCCCGAGGTGTATATCCAGCCAGAAGTAAATTATTCACAGGCAAATAAAAGTAGAAATCAGTACATAAACCAGGCTTATAGTTGTTTCCATAGCGAGTTGTTCATTCACTCACTCAATAAATACTTATAAGGGGCTAGAGGTAGAGAAGAGAGGGAACTTGATCACTTCTCATGAAGTGCAGGCTATTCAGCTCTGTGGTTCTTAGCCCAGACTGCGTATTAGAATACCTTCTGTGAGCTTTTCAATATGTTATTTCCAGGCCTCCACTTAGTCAGAAAGGCTAAGTAATGAGCCTCTAAAAAATTTCGTCAGCCCAGCAGGAGTGGCTCAATTGGTTGAGTACCGTCCTGTGTGCTGAAAGGTTGCCGGTTCAATTCCCAGTCAGGGCATCTACCTAAACTGTGGATTCGACCCCCGGTGAGGCACGTAAGGAAGGCAACAGATCAATGTTCCTCTCTCACATCAATGTTTCTCTCTCCCTTCCTCTCTCTAAGCTTGTCCTCGGATGAGAATAAAAACAAACAAAACAACAACAAAAATCTCTCCAACTTTTCTAATATGTAGCCAGGATGACAATCACTGATTTAGCCACCCAGGATGATGTGAAAGGCAAAAGCAATTAACTATATTTTGATTTTCCTAATAAAGACACCAGATTCTACCACAGGGTACACCAGAAATTGTTCTTAAATATTTGGTCTTAGCACCTTTGCTTCAAAATATAAAAGGCTTCTCTTACAAGTAACATCCCAGTTGTTTTTGTCCCAAATTTTTTTACATTCATATTAAATGCCTCAAGTAAACTAAACAAAAAATTGGACTGTGAGAGATTTCAATATCCAATATGGATTCAGAGAGAAATGATGCATTTCAAATTCAGGTGCAAAATGATTCTCTTCTAATAGACAAATGGTCAGGAGTGGTTATAAAGTTACCCTAAATAATTGGAATTTGCACAAAAGAATTGCCAATAATCTTGAATGAATGTAATAGTCCAAGGATTGTCATAGGACCACTTATGTTGCTAGATCTGTGGTTAGAAGACAGTAACATAAGTTTTCTCTCTTTTCAGTTGTATTCTTGAACTGAGAGTTAACCTGTTGGTTCTACCTGAATTCCAATACCACACAGAAATTCTTGAATACCAATGAAAAAAATCATTTTAGCATATCTGAGTGTGCAATACTTGTTAAGCAGATGGGTCAAGATTATTCTGAAAAGATTTTTACTTTTTTAAAAATATATTTTATTGATTTTTTACAGAGAGGAAGGGAGAGGGTTAGAGAGTTAGAAACATCGATCAGCTACCTCCTGCACACTCCCTACTGGGTATGTGCCTGCAACCAAGGTACATGCCCTTGACCAGGATCGAACCCGGGACCCTTGAGACCGCAGGCCGACGCTCTATCCACTGAGCCAAACCGGTTAGGGCAGATTCTTACTTTTTTAGCTTGTATGGCTGCTAGTTAAAACAGAGGACACTCAGTTAAATTTTAACTTCAGGTAAACAATAAATTAACTTTTAATGTATGTCCCAAATAATGCATGAGACATAATTATACCAAAAATGTCTTTTATTTTTTCACACTGTCGTGCTGTGGACTCATAGGGAATGGGCTCCCGCAGCTCAGGCTCCTTTTCATTGGTTCTCACACAGTGTGCCTCTCTGGGTGGAACAGGCTGGCGCTTCAGCTGAACCGAGGTTTCTTTCTCTGTGGCTCCCTCCCTCTTCTGATCACTTTCCTTCCCAC